GGCTGTGGCCTGTGGGGGCAGCAGAATTTATAGGGCCCGCGCGTGCATGCACCGGCCCGGCAACATGACGGTGAAGTGGGGACGCACGTGCGCTCCATGCAGCGCCTCCTCGTGACCGTGAAGTGGAGGCCCATGTACGTCGTACGTACGTACTCTACGTTGCGGCGCGTACACACGTTGCGGCGGCGGCGGCGCTGGTCTGTCTGCATGGCGGCCGTTTAGCCCGCGCGGGCCGTACCGCGCTATCTAGTGGCGCTGGCGGCCAAGGCACACACTCGCGGACAGCAGGTTTCATATCTGCGTTTTGTCCTAGGTGCATCGTACATGGTATAGTCGCAAAAGTGGAACAAACCCATAATTGAAAAATAGAGAAGTAAGAAGAAGGATTCCAATTGCTCGAAAACTCATCTTAGCAAATGTAGAAATTCAGTACAATCTTACAATTTTTTTAAGATAATGGAATAGAATATCCCAGCCTTTACTCAAAACGAGCTACAGCCAATTATTACAAAGTTACACTAAAAAAAGTGTAGTTCAACAAAACATTGAGAACACGCACTTAAAATAAAAAATAACCCATCTAAGATAAGGAGAACACGTTATTGAAGTCTATTTGTAAATCTCCAACCATAATTGACAAAAAGTTGCATAACTGTCGTCTCAAGCCTACGGCATGCAACCTTCATAAACTCGCCATCTTCATCACACCTTTGTAGCTGAGCCCAACACCGAAGCCAATATGTTGCCCTGAAAATTACCTGTATATATATGTGGTACTTACTTAAAGAGGTTGTGTTAACCAAAGACAATTTAGTAAGACGGAATTGGAATAGTAGTTTAAGATGTTGTTTTTTTTATGTAAAATGAGAATATTCAACATGGATTGCCATTATGCAAACTTTATATGGAGAGCAATACAATATTCTTTTTGATGGTTGGTTTTTGGGGTGGATAAGAAAAGGAGTAAGCTTGTACTTGTGGGAGCCTCTGCAATATGTTGGGCTCTGTGGTTGAGCAGAAAGGATTTGGTTTTTGACAAGTACAATCTTACATGATGGGCAATATTTAAAAAGGAGGGGGACTGCACCGGCACTATTTGCCAAAAGCAACCAAGTCGCTGTTTTGAGTTACGTTGATCATTAGCGGCGTCATTACCGAACGAATATCATGCTGTATGATGCTTCGGGATGGTACTCTGCTCTGAACAGAGAGGCGAAATGATCAATTTTTTTTCCTCTCAGTTACTCCTGATCGAATTATTCCACCATTGTTACAGGTTACATAAGAAACGCGAGCAAATTACACCAGCTGAAAAACAAAATCTTGCAACATTTCTGCGGGAGATATTTTGGGACAGCACGGCACGGTGCAATCATTCCCGGGGGGGAAGAATGATCAGGTTGGGTTTATCCGGTCGCTCATGGTCGGTTGGAACGAGATGACAGGCGACACGAACGGCGGACGGATGGATGCGAGAGCGAGAGCTGGACGAACTGACCGATCGACTGACGTACGCATGCAGCACAGCAACGTCCTCGTGTACAGCTCAGGAAACGGACGGCAAGATGGACAAGCGAAAGCTCTAGCTAGCCGATGCGCCTCTGCTCCCGGCAGGGGATGGAAGCCGCAAAAAGATTGGAGATTGGAGGAATTCCTCGCGGACTGTGGACTGGAGTCCCCCGGCAGGGGAGGATGGCGTCCTACGCCTATCATTACGTTTATCATCAGCTCTCCTTTTTTTTTTAAGATTACTAGCCGCCGAGTGGCCATACGTTACAATATGGGAAACATGTTCACACTAGCTGTAACTCATTGCTCATACCATGCAATTGATGTCAGCTCTCCTTTTTTTTTTAAGATTACTAGCCGCCGAGTGGCCATACGTTACAATATGGGAAACATGTTCACACTAGCTGTAACTCATTGCTCATACCATGCAATTGATGTCAAGTTGTAGACAGCCGGGAGAAAAAGCGAAAGCTTGCTCGAAATGATACTCTATACCCTAAGAGCAAGTATAATAGGAGGCTGTAAGTCGGCTAAATACTGAGGTGGAGGAAATACGAGGAGAGAGAAAAAGCGGGCTGTAAACTTACAGTCGACTTGGGCATAAGAACCAAAAAATTATATGAGAGACAAGTAGACTCTGTATTAATTGTAAATAGCTAACTATTAATCTATTATATGTGTGGGTTAAGAAAAGTCTGCAAAGAACTTTATAGCCAACAAATCGGCTGTATTATTAGCCTTACTCTAACCCTAGCTTAAGACACATTCCCAACTTCACTTCATCATTTTTAACGCGCATATTTTTTAAAGTGCACCTTATAAAAAAGTTCCTATAGAAAAGTTTATTTAAAAAGAACATATTATCCAATTTTTATAGTATTTTTAGCTAATTCTTAATTAATTATGCTCTAATAGGTCATTCTGTTTTTTGCGCTGTATGGATTTGTTTTCAACCATAGGTAACGAATACAACTTAAGGATGGTTGCAAAGTGATGAAACCGGGATAAAACGAAATGGATGGTCTATTTGATTGGTGCGGTAAATTGATTTTTTTTTAAAAAATAACAAATAGTTTACTAATGTGGTCTACGGGAGTCAGTTGAATGTTTGTTTTTTAAAAAAGGTATGTTTAGAAGCATGAATGAAATAATCTGCCATTCAGCCAGGCCGGGCGATCGAACTATATTCAACAGTTCCAATTGGGGCCTAAATCACAATAATAATTAATAATGATTACAATTACATTTGAGACACATGATTGTTTCATGAAACCTCAAATTACAAACGTTATGTCCGACAAATAGATGGGATTACAATCAATAAATGTTCAATGAGAAAAAAGGTGAATCCTCATATATAGTCTAGAAAGGCAGGCTAGGTAAAAGCCTTATGCACAAGGTCGACATTTACTTTTGAGAAAATTCGATCCATAGCACAGGAAAAAAGCGGTACCAAAAAATAGCACAAGAATTTTTCGCTTTCGATCAGAAGCACAGGCACCGGTTTTTCTTCGCCCCATAGCACTTCCGTCAGGTTTGGAGTTACCAGCGTTAGATTGAAGTGTAGAAAAATTTTGTTAGACCCATTTGCCCTTCGTCTTCCTCGCCATAATCTCCGTCATCTCGTTCTATCGGGTCGTGCCCACAACGACGGCGCCGGAGCCGTCGCCAAACAGTGATGCGGCGACGATCCCCGTCCCCAAGCCACGCCACCGCCGTCCCCGTCCCCAGCCGCCGCGCCACCTTCCCCGTCCCCAGCCATGCTGCCGCCATCCCCGTCCCCAGCCACGCTGCCGCCATCCCCGTCCCCAGCCACCCCGCTGAGCTGAACTACGCTAGCGCCGCCCACCATTTGCAACGGAGAGGAGGAAGACATAGAGGCGCCGTCGCCAAACAACGACGCGGCGACGAGGGTGTCGAGGTGTCGACGCAGCGATGAGGGTGATGCCGGCGCAAGATCGAGCTCCAGAACTGCCCAGGCAACTCCACCATGCTCCAGCTTGACAACACGCAGTTCCTCACCTACTGCTGGAGATCACGACAGAGCAGTTCTTCGTCGGCATCACCGCTTGCCGCCTCAACTGCCTCTCCGGCAGCTCATGCGTCGCCTCCATGGCGCTCTACGGCGGCTCGAGCCTCTGCTTCCTCAAGGTGTCCAACTTCGTCAGCGGGTACCGGTCCGTGGCGCTGCCCAGCACGTCGTTCATCAAGGTCTGCTTCCCGGGGATACCCAACCTGCCCCTCGGCGGCGGCGGCTCGCTGTAGAGCAGGGTGTCTGGCGTCCGCAGGTGGGTGATGCTCGGCGTGGTGTCCGGGCTGGTGCTGTGCGAGTGAGCGTTGTGGTGTGTGTTGTGCCGGCACAGCCCGAAGTACGGCGCCGTGTACCACGGCGTGATGGCGAACCGGACGGTGGTGGCGGTGAAGCAGCTGGAGGGGATCGAGAGGGGGAGAAGCAGTTCAGGATGGAGGTGGCCACCATCAGCAGCACGCACCACCTCAACCTCGTCCGCCTCATCAGCTTCTGCTCCGAGGGACGCCACCGCCTGCTCACCTACGAGTTCATGAAGAACGGCTCCCTCGATGCCTTCCTCTTCACCGACGCGCCGGGCTGCAAGATGTCGTAGCCGACGCGGTTTGCCGTCACTGTCGGCACCGCCCGTGGCATCACCTACCTCCACGAGAAGTGTCGCGACTGCATCGTCCACTGCAACATCAAGCCGGAGAACATCCTCCTCGACGAGCACCACAATGCCAAGGTCTTCGACTCGGCGGCAACGGCGAGCCACGCGTCCACGTTGTTGAAGAGTGCACGTCGCAGCTCGCTCGGCGGTGGCAGGGAGACGAGGCGGTTGCCCGGCACGCTGATGGCCACCGCACCGCCATCCACGAAGGAGCAGAAGATGAGACGTGGTGGGAACGTGGGGGAACAAAGGGCAAATGAGTCCGACGAAAATTTTCTCCACTCCGATCTAACGCCGTTACTTCCAAATACGATGAAAGTGCTACGGGGCGAAGAAAAATTAGTGGCCTATGCTATGGATCGAAAGTGGAATTTTTTTTGTGCTATTTTTTGGTACCGCTTTCTTTCCTGTGCTATGGATCGAATTTTCTCTTTACTTTTAGAAATCATCCAGCTAGAGTCTTGTTAGACAAAAGATTACATATACTAGATGGTACACCGGACACTACGACAATACCCATTATTCCGGGCGGTTGGATAGATTATCCCCTGTGGTCGCCCGGCCCGCCTGCAGCTCATCGTCTGGGAAAATCTTTATTTTCGCGTGCGGGCGGGCCGACCGCACGGGATAATCGATTATCCCCTGTGCAATAAGGCCAACCGCATGGGATAATCTATTTTCCCGTGCGGTCAAATTAAGTGGCCCGCACGGGATAATATGTTACCCCCCACGGCTAGCACGTGCTAGCCATCTGGGATAACCTATTATCCCGTGCGGTTTGTATAATTTGACCTCACGAGACAATAGATAGAAAATTAGCCGAAAATTAGCCGAAACATCAAATTAAATCATATTACATAAAAAGTATAGTGTTTATTACAAGCATCCCCCACGACAAATACATCCATTTAGTCCATAGCATGTTGCCTCTCCCACTCTCTTAGATTCTTGAATTTGGGGTCCGTAGCAAGTTCGCTATGAGGATCATGGAACTCTCCTAAATGATTGCAGATGTCGCGGCGAATGAACCGGCACAAGTCCACGCACAAGTTGATAAGTGTTTTCTGATCGAACCGGCTTGCACTATAAGGGATACTCGGGAGCTACGAAATTAAAAGACAAATGATTTGTGTTACAGTCAGGTTTAATGAACTATTTGCAATATCTAAGGAGAGTTTAATGACTTACATCTGTAAACTCAATTGTATCTCCCATTGACCCTGAGCATCTCGCACACGTAATAATCGCATAGGTTCGTAAAGCTAGGTTGCTTATAACACTGCATACACAAGTGGACACGTCAGAAGTAAGAAGTGACAATCGTGATGTACGTACTGAATAAATGCTGACATACCGGCCAGTGTCCCCTTATGTACAGTTTCTCTCTACTTGGATTCTTAACGTACCCGCCACGTTTCTTATAACGGCCGTGTGCTCTACAAAAATAAATTAATTAATTATGATAAATCTACTTTAATGATCTTTACGGAAAGTTGGAATCTTTACGGAAATTGTTTCGAACTTACAAGTTCAGCAAGCATAGGAACTCCATGTACGCGTCCTTGTCATAGTCCGCCGGATCAAGAACTACAACGGTTTGGTCCGTTGGATAGACGAGGAATAGTATGTAGTGTTCGCTGTGAACACGGATTATGAAATTACATAAGACATTTTCTTGCGCTGTTATTAATATGTGAACGGAAATATGTCAAAGTTGCTTACCCAAAGTGGTAGGGGACCATGATGACTCGTTTGTCGGAGTGTGCGAGAAATGAGGTGGCCAAGTAATTTCCCACCTCAGCCATCTTTCTCTTACGCATACGCTCGATGTAATCTTTTTTCTCCTGAGGTGTCTTATTCTTTAGTACCGCACTATCCTCCGATATCCGCACAGTGTGGGCCGTCTCGCAAACCATCGTTGGATTTACGTAACCGATTAAGGTCCCCGTTCTTTGAGCGTCTACCCATTGTGACATGAGGAAATTTGGAAGTTAGAATAACTAACAATTATATTGGCACACATTGGAATAACGAAGTACATGGAATGCTTATAGGCACCACGCACCGACGAGATTGATATCCATTTTATCCATCTTAAAGAGTGCGTGGAGGTCCTTGAAACTAAAGGCGAAGTTTGCGTTAGGTCCATCCTTGAAAGCGCCTTCCGGGACATGCACAGTAATCATCCCGAGACCTAACTCACTTGCCCTCAAGTACCACTCATGCATCAACCTCATTGGCCATGGGAGTTCACACATCAAGTTGAACGGCAAAAACGGCTTGCCATATTCATACTCCTTAGGCACTTCATTGGAGGTCCAAGATTGCATTTTGTCAGCAAGACCTACAACGCTCTTCTGTGCGTCCGAATACTGATCAGGTCCAACTGGCTTTAGCGGACCCCCTCGACCCTTGAAAGATTGCAAAACCATCCGCGTCTCACACTCTGCCATTTTCTCCTTGTTGTATGTGGATACCATAACGGGTATGAGCTTGCGGGCTTCACAGGTTTTTGGCTGCTCCTTTGATGTATCTGGCTGTGGAGGTGGCACATGTTCGTCAAGGGGTGGAGCAAGATAGGACTGAGGAGCAGGAGACGGCTACCGAGGTAGGGTAGTTGGGGAGTTAGGTGCTACTTGTTGTGGAGGTGGAGAAGGACCTCTAAGTGGTGATATCTGTGGGAGTGGAGATCCGGGTGGGGTAGTGCAGATCGGAGGGGACGGCGGTGCAGGAGGTGCAGACGTATTTGGCACCGATGGAGCTGGTGTCATCGACATGAACTGTCCAGTGAGGATGATGTCACGACGATGCCAGAGTATGAACTGGTTAACCGCATCCCTGAGAAGTTCAATCCCCTCTGGTGTTGGGATGTCAAGCTCCAACGACATCTGGTCGCCATGAACAAGTGCGACCTGAACACTTACGTAGTCCGCCGGAATTAGGCTGTTATGGAACTGTCTCCCCGGTATCGCCAATCCAGACGCAACCTCCTTCGTTTTTCCCGCTCTCCCTATCGGAACGACAAAGCTGCACGGTGTCGGACCAGTTATACTATCTACTGGGTAGGTTGTATTTTCTACCGACCCGACTGAGCTTAGGATCTGTGTCGACTGCAAACCATGAGGAACCAGGTCAGGGAAGGCTTGAGGATGTTGTGCGGCAAGACTGTAGAACTGTTGGGTGACTTGTTGTGTGACTTGATTTGTGATTTCCTGGCGCATCTTGGCCTTGTAGGCATCGCGCTTCTTGTAACTTTGGGCTTCCTGTGGAAACCCTACCTTCCAATTCGTCATGCACGACTGTCCTCTAACCTACCGGAGTGTTCTGTAGTTCTCAAAGCTTCGGTCAGCTCATCATGCTGCCGTCGAGGGACAAACTCACCGGTCTTCTCCTTCTGGACGATCTGTTGGAGAGACGTGGTCACGTTCTGGATGTCTGGACAGTCCAACAGCATCTCGAAGTTCTTGCCCACACCCAATTTCTAGTTCGCTTATCTAGGGGCTGCACAATCAAAGGTTTGCCTTCGGCCGCAAACTTTTCCTCCGTAGTTCGCCATTTCTTCTCGTGACCGGCGCATCCACTTGACCCTAACCTGTGTGGATATATGTTCTTCTTCGCCAGGTCCGACATCTTCTTCCTCCTTTCTAGAGCTTGAAGCGTCGTCATCTTGGCCACGAACTTGTCCCACTCACTGCTGAAATGGTGCCCCATTCTTCAAATGGAGTCTTATTCTTCTGAACATAATTGGTGTTCATGTCCGACTTCCATTGTCGCCACCGATGGGCAATTGTTTGCAGTGCAAATTTCCGGCCAAGTGCCTCCGACTCAGGCGGATAAATACGGTGCTCCTGCAGACCTTCCCACATTAAGTTCTTGATGTGAATGCTAACATGCTTCCATTCGTCCACGTTGAGAGGCCCATGAAGCCTTGCCAGCGCGCCGCATGCGGTGCTAAACTTCACCCTTACATGTTGCGGCTCGACGGGTTTGCCGTCAACATCGAGAGCAGCAATGTAGTACGTCTCCTTCGGCATGAGGTTCCTGCCCTTCTCGCCACGCTTTTTCTTTGGACAAGCTCCCCCACTCATCGTCGTGTCCGTTCGCGGTGGTCCCGAGGTCGTTGTGTCTGAATCAGGTTCAACCCTGACGGCACTTAGTTTTGACCGACGACGGGTTGCCATCTGCACGGTTAAGTCATTAGACCGCTACATCGGGGAAAGTTTAATTCCAAATATATATTTCGACAGGATTCAGTTATTACCGCCTGCTCGATAGGAATATAATCCGGGTCATCCTCAGGTCTTTCATACTGCAATTGCGCTAGTTCTAGCTCAAACGAGTCGCTCGGTGTGCATCACGATTCCTTGCTCGACGTCGGTACCTTCCCGACATCTTCTTCGTGTTGGGGATTGTTAGTGACATCGGTTCTGTGCCCGACGGAGCTGTCCTACCCATTAGGTTTATTGACCGTCGGTTCTGTGCCCGCCGGAGCTGTCTTGCCCGACATCTTCGATTCGCGTTCTTACAATTTAATATTCGTTCAAATCCACTAAACTATCATAACCACTAAACTAAACTATCATATTAACAGCAAAATAAAAACATGTTTTGATCACATGGCTAGCTCGTGTGTTCAAATATAAACCTCTAACTCCTAGCTGCGTCGTCCTCGTGGACGGACCTAAAGCATCGACTTCCTTAAGGCAGTTCGTTCCGACCTTAACAAGGTTCCACTTCCTGCTTTCGTCCAAGACACTCTTGGAACAATGCAGGCGACGGAACCTTGTATGGGTCGGAAAGAACGGCCTTAAGGAACGTCGAGCTCCTGGTCCATCCACGAGGCCGACGCATGTACAAGTCAGAGGTCTATCTTTCAACATACGTGCTAGCACATTTTATGGATGACCAACGCATGTCATATGTTGACGAAATGTTCTGTTTTTCCAATTTGTACTAGTCGGTTGCGTCCAGCAACTAAACCGACTAGTAGAACTTGGCAACCAGAACACTTCGTATTATAGCAGCATGATAACGTACGAACTACACCTCCTATATCTAATTTTAGGAGATTGGTAAGGAAAGCAAGATCGGTAAGGAACGTAAGATGGGTAACGATTTCAAGATTGGTAAGGATATTCATCACTATGCACACTATGAAAGCATATGGCCTCAGTTTTGCTCAGCAATTATTCATCATGAACCCCAAGTGTAGATGGTCTGTTCTTATGTGCAAAAAAAACAAGTGAAGTGCCCCCCCAAAAAAAACAAGTGAAGTGCCCCCTCAAAAAATTCACAAGTTTAGTTGTTCTGTTCTCAAGCAAAAAAAAAAAAAACTGAAGTGCCCCCAAAATATTTCACAAGTGTAGTTGTTCTGTTATCAAGCATTATTAAACAAGCGAAGTGCGGCCCCCCCCCCCAAAAAAAAAAAAATTCACAGGTGTAGTGTTCTGTTCTCAAGCAAAAAAAACAACTGAAGTGCCCCCCAAAATATTTCACAAGTGTAGTTGTTATGTTCTTGAGCATAAATAAACAAGTGAAGTGCCCCAAAAAAAACTTCACAAGTGTAGTTGTTCTGTTCTTGAGGATAAATAAACAAGTGAAGTGCCCCCCAAAAAAATTCACAATATGATCTGTTCTTAAGCATTCATCATTGGCCATTTATCACCAACAAAAAACAGCCCACATATATCAGCCACAAGTATAAAACAGCCCACATATCACCCACATATAAATCAGCCCACATATATCACCCACAACAATCACCCACATGTATCAACCACAATGAGGCATAAAACAGCCCAAAATATACAGTACAAACAAGTGTAAACAGCATATATGTACATCACATATATATAAACATATAGAAGCAAAATATATTTCATCATGTATATGCACAACATCAGCAGGGGCATAACAGCATCATTTGCAAAATTAGCAAAATATTTCAGCAGGGGCATATATTTCATCATGTGTAGAAAAAAAAACAGCCCACAGTGACATAAAACATCCATCTATCCCATGTAGACATACATCTATTTATCACAAAGAGCACAAGTCCTATATATCTATCACAAATCATCATCATCTCAAATATCATCTATCCATCACAAACAGCCATCTATCTATCACAAATGTCATCATCATCTCAAATCTATCTATCACAAACAACCATCTATCTATCACAAATATCATCATCATCTCACATATCAGCTATCTATCACAAACAACCATCTATCTATCACAAATATCATCATCATCTCAACATCACAAATCAACATATCATTCATCCATTCAACCAAATATCATTCATTCATTCAAAAATTTCATTCAACATTGCATCTACTGCATGCATCATCCACTGCATCATTCATCCATTCCACTGCATCATTCCATCCATTACCATTGCATCATCCAAAAAAGGAGGGGCGGCGAAGAGAGGGGTACCTGGATCGAGGAGGCTTGGGGAGGAAGTAGGAGGCAGCCGGCGGCTTTGCGGGGAGGTGGCCGGCCGCGGCTTGGCGGCGACGTGGCCGGCGGCTGCTTGGGGAGGACGACGGCGCCGGCTTGGGGAGGATGACGGCGGCGTCCTTGGTCGGGGAGGCCGGCGGCTTGGCGGTGCTCTTGACGCCGAGGGGGGGAGGTCGGCGAGGCCGGCGGCTTGACGTTGCTCCTAACGCCGGCGTTGGTCTTGAAGGCGTGGAGAAGAGGCCGGCGGCGACCCGGATCTGGCCGGCGGTGGAGGAGGCAGTGGCGGCGTCGGTGGAGACCGGGGAGGAGGCCTCGGCGGCGGAGGCCGGTCGGTGTGGACGACGAGAAGACGGCGGCGGCGACGGCGAGGTTGAAAAGAGGCGGCGACAAGGGGCGAGGTGGAGAAGAGGCGGCGGCGGCGAGGGCGAGGTGGAGAGGAGGCGCGCGGCCCGGATCTGGGGCTGCCGGCGGAGAGGCGAGGTGGTCGGCGGCGCAGATCCGAGGGGTAGGAGGAGAGGAGGGGCGGCGGAGGGATGGGGAGGAGGAGAGGAGGCGGCGGTGAGGGGGAGGAGAAGAGGAGTAAAGGCGGCGGCGGCCTGGATCTGGCCGGCGGCGACCGGAGACGATGAGGAAAGGCGGCGGGGGCGTGGGGTTTTGGGCGGCGGTGGAGGAGGTCAGCGGCGTCGGTGGAGGGAGGAGGAGAGGAGGCGCCGGCGTGGGGGGAGGAGAAGAGGAGGAGAGGAGCCTATTAGTTAATAACTCCAATTTTTTTATTAAAAAAATCATAATTTCGATGGGAATGTATATATTTGCTATAGCACAATGCAATATAGTTAATTATTTGTTATATTCCCATCTAAGTTATAGTTAATTAATAATTATAATTATTAATATCACGGTAAACAATAAATTAATATTGGTTTGGGTTAATTAAACCACGAATTATTCAAAACACAAATATAGATTAACAAAGAATTAAAACAGACATGAATTTTATTCGCATCTAATTATTCATCGATATGATTAATATAAATAAAATATTGGACCATAAAATAAATTCAAAACGACATATAGTACGGATAAACATGGATACCCTATCTCATTCGCAATATAAGTTTCATCCAGTAATCGTTTACAAAATAGGTAGTACACAGGATCGACATCTCACTAATGTTTGACAATTTTGGAAACACCATCCTTCCGCGCGGACAAAAACAAATCTTCGTCAAGGCTTGTCTCAACTTCCTTGATCCGGTGATCCGGTTAGGAAAATCTGTAAACAAAAGGACGTCGTCGTATTGGTTGTAATCTGACACGTCTTCAATGCTATCAATGCTAACAATGTTTTGCTTTCCTGGTACAGCAATGGCCATCTTATCATCGGAAGGGTCATTGACATAGAAAACCTGAGCAACCCGCTCAGCAAGAACCCACGGATCATCCTTGTGTCCTAGCTTGCTACGATCCACAACCGTCAGGCCGTAGTCATCGATGAATACGCATGTTGTGTCTCTGACCCATTGGCATCGTAGCACCGGGATCTGTATGTTAAGGCCATAGTCCAGCTCCCAAATGTCTTGTATGATCCTGTAGTAAGACTTCTTCTCACCTGATGCGTCAAACGCCTCCACCCGAACTCCGCTGTTATGAGCTGCGCTTTTCCTGTCCTTGAACATCGTGTAAAATCTATATCCGCCGATGTCGTACCCTTGCCATGAGGTCACAAGGCTAGTTGGGCCATTTGCTAGCCTGCGCAAAGTTTTTTCCTCCAGCGAATCACCCAACGGCAGATCTTTCTCCTACAACCATTCAGGAAATTTCCATTTCTGTTCTTTACAAATCCAAATGTTCGTTCTTCTAGGGTTGCAGGCTCTTATCTCGTTCATGTGTTCCTGAATGTACGGCTCTAAGATGGCGAGCTGTTGCAAAACACTGCTATGTGCTTCCGCTACATCTTTGAAGTCCTCATCGTAGAACCTTTTCTTGCCTACGATCCCCGTCCCAGCTAACCGGCCCTCGTGTAAAGGGGGGGTCACACCGATGGGTTTGGCGTCCTTCATGTAATCTATGCAGCATTCGACCACCTCCTCAGTTGTGTACCCCTCTATCATTGATCCTTCCGGATGAGCTCGGTTACGGACATACCCTTTCAGCACGGACATGTACCTCTCATACGCCCACATCTGGTGTAGGTATAGTGGACCAATCTCGATAATCTGAGGTACGATGTGGACAATAAGATGCTCCATCATGTTGAAGTAAGCTGGGGGGAAAAACATCTCAAGCTGGCATGCTGTCTCGATTGCAAAAGTTTGAAGGGGGCCTAACTCTTCAGGATCAAAAACCTTCTGTGATACTCGATTGAAAAGGTAGCACAACTTTGTTATCACTAACTGAGTGTGAACTGGCTTGACCACTCTTATGGCAATGGGTAGGAAGACTGTTAACATCTTGTGACAATCATGAGCATTGTACCCAGAGATGGTCAAATCTTTCAAAGATACAAGTTTTCTGACGTTCGCTGAGAAACCAGTCGGGACTTTCACACTATGCAAGCATCTACATAAAGATTTTTTCTCGTCAGGTGTTAGTGAGTAGCATGCCGGAGGAATTTCGATCTTCCCATTTGGCAGCTCTTTTGGGTGAAGCTCATGCCTTATGTCCAAATTGACAAAGTCGGTCCGGGACTTGAACCCATCTTTCGTCTTACTCGGGATGTCCAGTAAAGTGCCAATGGTGCTATCAAACACATTCTTCTCAAGGTGCATTACGTCGATGGCATGCCGAACCTCCAGGTCTTTCCAGTAATCAAGATACCTGAAAAAAAATTGAGTGCTTCTTGAAGGACTGGTTACTTTCCTCTAAAGGTGCATCAGTTGTGTCCTGATCCGTACGTTTCTTCCTCTTGACGGGCTTCTTCTTTGTCAAATCGAAGACAGAACGACCTGTACGTGTTTCAGGAGCTAGAAAGTTCTCTACTGTATTGTCGAATAATCTGGCCTTCGCACGCCACCTATGCCTCTGAGGTAAGAACCGACGATGACGCATGTAAACACCCTTGGTTGACGAGGTGAGGTACTTGTACGACGTCTTGTCGATACATATGAGGTATCCGAACTTCCCCTTAAACTGGCCCGAGAGCGAAAAGTTTGCCTGTAAGTCGTTGATCGTAACGAATATGATGGCATGCAGAGTGAAATGTTCCCTACGGTACTCGTCCCACATTCGTAACCCTTCCTCCCATAGTTCTTGCATGTCCTCCATCAATGGTTCCAGAAACACATCTATGTTAATCCCAGGCTGTCTTGGACCTTATATAAGGACAGACAAAAGAATGTACTTTCACTTCTGGCAAATCCATGTAGGCAAGTTGTACATCGTTAGAAGAACTGGCCAGGTGCTGTGTGTGCTGCTTAGGTCACCAAACAGGTTCTTTCCATCCGTGCTCAATGCAAACCTGACATTTCTCGGGTCCTTTGCAAATTCCGGGTGTAGTGCATCAAAGTTTTTCCACTGTCGAGCATCGGCGGGGTGTCGGATCTTACCGTCAATTTTCCTACCCTCTTGGTGCCATCTCATCAACTCGGCGTCGTCTCGGTTGGAATATAGCCGCTTCAGGCGATCTTTAACTGGCAGGTACCACATCACCATCCTAGAAATCTTTTTGTTCTCATCCACCAGTGCATCATCTTTGTCGACCACCTCTCCATCGGAGGCTCCGTTGCCCGTCTTGTATTTACTCGTCCCACATGTTGGGCAAGAGTCTAAATCCGCGAATTCCTTGCGGTACAGTATGCAATGATTTTCACATGCATGGATCTTCTGAACACCTAGAGACAATGGACATATCAATTTCTTCGCTTGATATGTGTTCGTCGGTAGCAGGTTCGGCTTAGGAAGCATTACTCTCAAAAGATCCATCAAATCATTGAAGCTCGTGTCCAACCATCCATGTCTGGCCTTCAATATGAGAAGTTCGAGCACCGAGCGCAGGACTGAATAGTCCTTGTCGTATCCTTTGGCTTCGTCGTACAGAAGCTCCTTCGCTGAATTTTCCAAAGCTTCCCAATTGTCCAACCCGCGTCTTGTACCAGTTAGGACCTCTGGTTCAACGTGCCGCAACATATCTTCCAGTTCAAAATCAATACCTTCATTCTCTATACCTGAGCCACCGTATTCCGGGATGTTTCCCTAAGACATGTCTTCGATTATAAAATTTTCTGCATCATCAAAACATAAATCATCTAACTCTTCGTTACGACCACCGGCTTCCCCATGAAAAGTCCATATCTCGTATCCCTTCTTAAATCCTCGTTCTACAATGTGCGACAATACTTCATTCGGATCTTGCAGCAAGATCTCGTTCTTACAAACTTTACATGGGCAAAAAATGCTCCTCAAATTCTCCCTCGCAGCATGTGCCTTTGTGAGCTCAACAAATTTGGCTGCTTCCTTCAAGAACGTTGGATGAGCTCTTTTCGTGTTGTACATCCATGTCCGATCCATGATCTACAATAAAGCTTGCCATTAATACATCCATGCCTGATTCAAACACGAATGTATTTAAATTGGAGGGAACTAATCACGTAGTAATTTAAAGTTGAACGGACTATTTAAACAGCCGCACATCAATTTTAAGCATTAATAGAATATTGTCTAACCATTTCTAAAAAATAAAAATATTCGTCCTTTTTCATCCAAATGAAAATAAACTTAAGAGGCAAACCCAACGTTTCAATTTAGGTGCTAATTACTTTTATAAACATGTAAAAGATTGCAATATGTATTTGCTTAAAAAATAAAAAAACAAAAAGGTGCCTACACTATTCCATTTATAAAAGTGCAAGTTTCTTCGTATTCCACCGATGAAAACTGAAAAAAATGGAAGCAAATGAAGGAGGAGAACGAGCTCTACACTTTTATATGGAACCCAATCAAAGATTTGAGGTCAAAAACCTTCCCCCTAATTTGTGGATGTTTAGGAGAGAGAAAACGCTGGAAATTCATGGCAACGGTCAGGCTGGGGGCTTATATGCCCCCCGACCATCGCAAGCAGTCGCCTACTGTGGGCCACACGGGATAATCGTTTATCCCGTGCGATCCGCTTAGGACAACCGCACGCGATAATAGTATTATCCCGTGTGGTTGTCCTAAGCGGACCGCACGGAATAATCGATTATCCCGTGCGGCCCACTGCCCGACCCCGACATTCGCCTGGTTCCAGGCGGAGCCATTTATGGCCCGCCTGGAACCAAAATGAGCCGCCGCCGTCCAGCATAATCACATGTGTACTAGTGGGACGTTTCTGCAGGAATTTTTAGAAATATTTTGAGAACAATAGTTTGTATTGTAAGCATTTCCAGATGAATCCCTTGTGTTTCCATTGAACATGCAAACAAAATTTTGAATATGACATATATTTCGCTGGTGGTTACATGTAAGTTTCGAAAGATAGTCATGACAATAATAAAAATAGAAGATGTCTAAAAAAACAAATAATTTGGAATAATCGAAGGATGTAATTGTATGGAATCATATGGGTTCTATAGGTCGAGGAGGATATGCTGACCCGTAAATTTGGTTCAACAATGTATTAGTATTAATATAAAATAGTAGGATATGCTTGCATGATAATGCAGCAAGTCTTTAGCAATGTGAAGAATAATTACCCTTTTTGCGTAGATTTGTAGTGCTAATAGAGGTATGTGCTGTATGAAATACTAGTTCGTAAGAGATTGCAGTCAG